CCTGCTGTGTTTCAAGTAATAAACAGCAAAGAAAGTTTAAATTGAGACTTACCACGGAGCACCGTATATTCGGAATCCTTTAACTGTTACCTCTGAATCTTGTAAGTAAATACTATTTGTCAGGAGTGACTGAACATTGTCAAAGTCCTCTGGTTTCAATTTGGACACAGAGGGAAAGCGGTAGTAATCTTGTTTAACAAGGTCTGCCATGAATTCCTTATCAAATGTCAGTTCATGATTCCCAGCAATCACTATTTTATATTCATATGGTAGGTTTCCTGAAATAACAAAAAAGAGGACTTAATTAGCACATTTTCCTCCCACACCAGCATTGCCGGCACAATAAGTAGACAGCTAGCAGTGACAGAATGAAATACCCAAGATCTCTGTGTGTCTTCATGTTGAGCAGAATTATTATTACCACTTCTCTTCCATTGAATGAAATTGTGTTAAAATGCAAAGTAACGTCACACAAAGCAATGTCATAATAAAAAGTGTTAATCAAAACAAGCTGGTAGGCACCAGACCAGCTTCAAAGAAGGCCAACCACCACTGTTCCCCTGCTTTCAACTGATGACATATTGGTTTAGATGAGCCTAAGATGTGCCTCTCAGTCCTAATGCTTAATTCAGGGGGCTGGGTCAGTCAGCAGTCCCGACTCCTGCTCCACAGGAGTGACCTGCAGTGAGATACCTCGTGTCTGCATGGGTGGGTGGGCCAGAGGCTGCAGTATGCCTCACGAGTCGTGAGGGTACCAGGCGCCCCGTACTGAATTAGGCTGCTGGTGCTGTTGGTTTTTAAATTATCTGGATGAATTTGTATGGAATCCAAACCATTTAAGAAGTGGCTTTTACGCCCAGATTCAGCCTGTTCTCCAAGGTTCCAATTCACTTGCAACAGACCACAGTTTATGGTAGTACCTCATTTCTGTAAGAAGTACATGTTAGAAGAAACTATGAAACTCAAGGAAATAAAATATAAGGAAAAGAGATGTGGTTAACTCATTTATAGTATTATATTGTATATTAATTTATCTCTGACGAAGAGTGCAGGCTTGATCACCTCAAATTAGAGCAGCTATTTCAATTGTTTGGAACAAGGCGCAGATCAAGCCCACAGAGACAGATTTTCGGAGTTCAGAGGCAGATTTTCAAGCACTCTGTACCAACAACCAGTGCCGAACCTTCAAAATAAACATACTGGGTGCTGAGCTCCCTTAAAAATATGATGCCATACTGTGGTGTCTTCACAGAAGTTAGGTTCTTTTACAAAATGTGTCCCACTGTGACTTGTCAAAAATCAGACGTAAGTCTCCATCAAAGCTAACTTCTGCTGCATTCTCCATAAGCCTGATTTCCTAGTCTTATGGCAAATCATTCATTTTGGTGTTTATTCCAATAATTTAGAAAAGGTTGGTTTTGTGTTGTTGTTGTTTTGGTTTTGCTTTTCCTTAAAAGGCAGCAAAATCTATTTGGAAATCTATGGGTCCATCTTCCAGTTCTGGTACTCCCAACATCTGCACTGAGGAACACAGAAATGGATGCTATATATTTCTCATTAATACAGTTCTCCTAAATAGGTGTGGCTTTCCTAGTTTAAAACTTGTCTTTAAACTTTCAAAACTGTTTGGTTTTGTGTTTCTTTTTTGAAAAGTAAGTTTCAAAGCAAAGTTGTAAGTATTTACAACAAGATTAACTCTCTCCTAAATAAAGACTTACAAGGAACCAGTAAAAACCTTCTGGTTTTCAATATGTACGGAAACAAGAATCACACAAGATGCATAGATAAACATCACCTTTGCAAAATTAGTTAATTCTGGATAAAAAACCAAAAAGCTACAAATCCCTGAAGAAACCAAGCAGACATCTTCACAGACACCTCACATCTAAATAAAATGCAGATCATACATATTCATAGCTCTCTGTGGTGCTGCATTAGATTAAAAACTGGAAGAGATGCAATAAATGCTCCTCTGCAGGCTCATGCCTCACTCCTTTTCCTCTTCCCTCCCCTTTCCCATCTCTGCTGCATGCTGCTCTGCAATTCATTTTTATTTAAAAACTCAATGTGGCAGGTACCTACAATTCCTGTTCTCTGTGACTCCTGGGCACAAGGTAAAATTGCTATTTTCTCCTCTCTCAGGAAACATAAAAGATACCACTGGCATGAAATTTGATACACTTGTCATAACTATCAATCCCCTGAAACAAGCCAAATGTGATAAAATTCTCAGAGAAGTAGGTCGAAGAAGTTAAATTCAGGTTTCCGCCAAGTTACCAACATTCAGTTTTAGCAGAACAAACATCTCATCTTACTGGATAAACGTCCAAGTTTTACACTTTCTCCCATTTATTTTGATAGACTTGAAAATCAGCCCATTTTGGTGATATTATGACCAATTAAGTCTGGAAGTCAATTTCTGCTTGAAGTCAATGGGTTTTTTTATCTTGACACCTTGAAAAAGAGGACTTACTTTGAAGACAAGAGACACAAGAAGACAAACCAGTGGTGGCACCAGTGATTATTAAAACACATAAATGTTAACATTATGCATGTTATACAAGCACCTGCAATCAGTAGGGAAAACCAAACTGTGTTTACTGCAATTGGCAGCAAGACAGATGTTGATTTTACTGAGACCAAGGAGAGGCCCTGCTTGGCCAGTTTTTGAGAGCAAGGAAGGCCCGGGGGAGCCGGGGGGGCTTGGGAGAGAACAGCTCTCCCCAGTGCCATGGGCAGGCTCAGGACGTGGCCCCACCAATGAAACCTAAGGACCAACACCATGACTGAGGTGAAATGGGCTCTGGAAGAGAAACCCCTCAGGGACCAAAGTTCAGCACCATCTATGTGTAAGCTCTAGCTCAGCTGTACTGCACACCCGCAGCCTGCAAGCCAGCAATAACCGGTGTTGGCTGTGGATGTAATGGCTGCAGACCCAGGTCCCCCACCCAGCAATGATATGAGATGTGTTTCACTCCATATTCGTATAGACTTTGGTATTTACCACAGGATGGCACCAAGGTCTGACCAGGCTCCCCACCTAGTTGCCCAGCTTTATAACCAGTCACAATTTGCTCTTCTTCTCCGGAGCTGACTAGGGAGCTAGTGAGGAGCACCACCACTCATCAAAATGCAATCAAAAGCCAGGCCCAAGCACAGGCAAGCACAGCAAGGAGAAGTCTCATCCATTTCTTTCCTCTTCCCTGAGGAAAGACTATATAGCACTAATCACAGTAATAAATTACCTGCAATCACATTAGCTATTTATTCATTGCATTCAGGATTTCCCTTCCTGAAGGGCCCTGTGGCAGTGCACACCATTCATTCTCTTGGATACAATTTATGAAATATTTTGGCGTTTTCTTTTGGCAGTTTTGCCCTTTGTCTACAATCTGCTGACCTTCTGTGTTTAATATAGAAGCATAAACAGTCACATACAAAAATCTCCTATTCTATGGTATTTCAGTTTCATCTTGACCAGATTAATCTCTGCATATCTACATCTGTGCTGTCTGTACAGAGACGCTGTACCACAATACACAAATTGAAAGGCATTTCCTCATTTTCCTTCACTTAATTTTTGTTAGCCACATCTGGTCTTTATTAGTCTAATTTCCTAACTTAAATTTTCCATCATGCATCAGTAATATCATTCATTCTAATTTACACTGTGAATCTGGAAAACAAAAGAATTGCTTTCCAGACTAGGAAGAGTTTGACCTCTTTGCTGGGACGAGTGCTTTAGAAACCCCAGTTATCAACTCCTAGGGTAATAACTGAGTTGAAATTAAAAATACTTAAATGTTTAACAGATGAGATCAAAAGGCTAAGATTACAGCTACTAAAAACGATTAGGGCACCAAATCTGTAGTCACTTATACTGGAGTATTTGACATTCTACATATTTATGTGTATATACACACACAGAGTGTGCATGTGTGTACACACGTGTGTATCTTCAATATATATTATTTTGGCTAAGATGTTTTTCAACATCTGCCCTCAACAGTAGAAGCAAGGGCACAATGTAATAACTGATCAAGAAAATACTGCAATTAGAAAACTTGTTCTTTCTGTCAATATCACTCTTGCTCAAATAAAAGCAAATATAGTTAACTGTGAATACCTTGTAAAAATGGAATTATTTCTAGTAAATACATTAATCTGAGAGTCTCAGAAGATTTCTGTGACTTCTTATTTAACAATTCAACCCTCAAGCTACAGTCCTACGTACCTTTGTCCCACAAGCATTCATCTTCACTCTGTGCCACCGCCCCTCTTTGCCAACACAGGGATTTGGTGGCCACAGAGCATAGCTGAAAATTGACATGGCAAAAAAGAAATGAAGCTCTGTGAACACTGGTAAAGCAGGACTTCTTTTGCTGGCTGCAACCACTTCTATCGCTTTAAAGTGTTAGCTGAACAGACCAACTTTAAATACACCCATTATGTGGGACGAGGGTGTAAAAGGTGGAGTGTGCATGTGTATTGTTTTTTTTAACCTACCTATGTAGGTGTTCCAGTGGTTTTTTAAGTTCACCTTAAGTACTAGGGGTCCTTAATGTGTTGAACAACCATTCACGTTTTAATGGCGTGCTTCATACGAGCACAATTTAGTCACACAACCCAAGTTCTGTAGAGCTGCCAGACAGTAAAAAAAGTCTGACTGTCAATGACTGTTAACTGCTGAGTCCCTATAAAAATAGAAAATCACATTATTTTTTAACTACTGTTACCTACAAAACCCACAGGGAAGTAAGGGAATGAGAAATAATGTGATACTAGCTGTCTCTTTAGTGGTAGAAACCCGTATTTACACACAAATGCTATGCAAGCGCTTTTGATGCAAAGCTCTGAATATGCATACACATGTATTAACTATTCAAACCACACAACACTTTCATGAAATGTAAGGCATTTTCATGCCCATTTCATAGCCTCATAGACCCTTCGGCCATATGCTGAGAAATGGGCTGAGAAACTTTAAAGTACGAACTGTACAAGTGCAAATGAATTATCTTGAATATATGGTGTATCTTACATGCTTCAGAAGTGCAAAACTGGTCATGGAGCACTCCCCTATAACCAACCAAATACATGTCCAAAGATAAACACTGAAGGAGCAGATTTTGTGTCATTCCTATGGACTTCCAGTTCCCACAGCAGCACAGGTTGCTATCGGTTGTCTGGCCACAGCTGCCCACCGATGGGCAGCAGGCAAGGGCAGCCCGCAGACCCTGCTGCTGGGCAGCAGCTCTGCAACTCCTCACAGAGGTTA